CCGCCCCCCACCCCCCTGTCTATCTAAAATGCCTCTAAATTCAGATCCCAGCCTGGCGGAAGTCGCGGACACTTCTCACCTCTTTGGTGGCATTTAAACTACTTTCTTTAAACTAAGGCTTGTCCTTTGTGTTGTCAGAGAGAGAAGTCAGTGAAAAACATTTTCTTCTTCTCTTAAATAAACTGGCCTCGGCAGCTGTTTAGACTCGTGGTAAACTTTCGAGGAGGGGATGTGGCAGGCCTTGGTGACAGGAGGCAGCGAGCACAAGCGAACCTCACAAAGAGCGCCTCAGTGTCCCCCGGGCGAGGACGGCAGCCAAGCAGTTCCTGGTTCACACGTCTGATCTCCATCCTTCCTCGCTCAGCAACACCTAGCCTCAATCTGGCAGCTGCAGACGTAAGGGGGGTGGCAGGGGGACTCACACACCACAGCTGCCTATCTGGAACCCTGGCAGGGTTTAGGAATACTTGTCTGCCTCTCATCGGAGGATGAGGTGCGAGAACGCCATTTAACCCTCTCTGCTTCTCAGGAGGGCTTCTAGTAGAAAGAGGTGTGGGAGGGAATCCAAGGAGAGAGTCTGAGCCAAGCCCAGGTCCTGTGCCCTGGGATGGGGGACATTACACTGGTGGGCAAGGCCACTGGGAGGCAGGTCACAGTGGGTGAGGGTGGGGATGGAGAAGGAGAGACGGGGGGTGCGAAAGGGCAGAGATTGGCCAGTTGGCACCCAATACACAGAACTTAAAACCCGGGGCAAAGAGTCAAATGCCAGCCAGCTCTCACACTACCCCAAAATGGTTTCTCTTAAGACGGCTCCCTCTATGCCCACGAGACAGCCTTTGATGCTCACTTTCTCCTGGTTTCAACTGCATGAAAATTGTGGAGAGCTGCAAAAGGCACCCAGTGGAACCCAAAAGATGGGACCAATGGCCCTTAGAAATGATCTTAGACATAAAACCCGTTAACAGGAGATGCTGATGTTCCTTTCAGCATCCGTGAGTAGAAGACGGTCTGAATCCTTCACTCTAATGACCACCTTCCACAAGCGGACCCTGGCCTGACACGCCCAGAGGTCTCTAGCAGGCTGGGTACCAGGCCCGGCCTCTCTGCTCCTGCTCTGTTCAAAGCTCACAGCCTCTAACACCAACAAAAACTCTTGCTTCTACCGTGAGCTGCTAAAAATAACCATCTGGTCAACAACTACAGAACTCTGATTATGGACTTCATATATTTTCACTGGCTTATTATTCTTTTTTCTTTTTATTGAAAAAAAGAAAGTATTGGGTAAAAGGAAATAATCCATCACCTGAATGAAACCACTTTTTGGTTCTCCCCCCCCCCACACACAGTTTTTCATTTGTTGAAGCTCAAATCCTAGAAAAAGACACATGACGACACCATGTTTATAGCCACTGCCTTAAGAAAAGAAAAAAATGCACACACCCAGGCTACATTGTTTAAAATGTGACTCATAACAACAACAAAAAAGGTCTTTTCAAAGATCACATGCCAAGCGCAGCTTATTCATTCCCTCTCCTTCTCCCTTCTCAGCACAGTGCTCTTTTCTCCTCGGCTTCTCTTCTTCACTGACTCACACCCTGGGACACAATCTAAGTATATATACTAAGCAGAAAACACAAGGCGATTTGGATAAAAAGAAAATGTTGCATGGCAAGAAATCAGTAAGAGGCAGAAAATGAAAGACACTTCAAAACACAAAAGATTAAGAATACCTAATAAGCCCAGGTCCAATGGCCACTTTTATTGCATTTCCCTAAAAATTTACCTAGTACACATGGATCTCTCCTAAAGCATGAGGTTACTTCTGTCACATGGTTAATTTATAATGGAATAGAAAAACAACCCCAATTAAAAAAACATACTAACAATGTAAATGCCTATTGTCAATGTTTCATCACCAACTTTTCCCGTCTTGCCTGCCCAAACCTGATTTCTCTTCTTTCAGTAAGTGAAAGGCTAATTTTATGCCCTGACCAAGAGAGGGCTCCTGCTGTCCTGACCAGGAGAGGAACAGAATTTGAGTCAACACATGGTGCTCTTTCCTCTCCCACATGGGAAAGTTTGCTTGAATCAATACACAGAGTTGCACGCTGAGGTCCAATGAGCCCCAGCCCGAAAGAAGAGACCCCCTGGCCCTATTCGTCTGGCTACCAACTGGGGCTCCCGGTGAAATGACCCAATGTGATTGAAACTGCCCATTCCCAGTTCTGATTCTGCCCTTGACTCCGTGTTCCTGGGCCAAGTCTCTGCTCCCCAGGACTGGGTTTCCTCTCTCCGAAGATGCTTGCCATCTTCCACGACAACAGCCATGGCCCAGTCTGTGCAACTCATTCACTGCCTTTGCTTAATCCCCAAAGCAGCCCATCAGGAGCACACTGGAAATTCTTACCTACAAGTCACTAAGCCCTGTGTTTATTTTGGCTAAACGAATGCTGCTGCTTTGATGAGATTTTATTTATATATTTTTTACAAGAGAACACGACCGGACTGTGAAGCCTCCTGGTATGCACCGCCTCGAGGGGAGCACACGTGCCCTGGTTTGTTTATTCTCTTCCAGCAGCGAAGCACTTAGCCACTGTACTTGTCAGTCACGACCCAACACAGTGCGCACACAGAACGGTGTCTGCAGCAGCTGCTGGTGCGACTTTCGCCAGCCTTTCTGGGAGCTTTGAGTCTCAACAGCCCAAAGAGAATCAGGTGAAACAACATCCTCAGGTCTCTCTTCACCAGCACAAGCATTACCTGGGATCCTGAAGGTTAGGACTTGAATTCAGCTGTAATCCAAGTCATTCAGTTTGGATCTCAGCTTTCCTTCCAATACTCTGGATTTGCATTAACATAAATCTCACACCCAGGGAACATCAGTATGCATACATGAATACTCTTATACTTCGAAGTGTGGAATGGGGAGTGGGCATGGGGTTCAGGCAGGCAAGCAGGGGTAAAGAAAGAAAATATATTCTCTGTAGATCTGTCCTTCTCCCCTACTCTGCTTTTTCTCTTATTGATTGTCTTAGAGCTGTGGGTGATGAATGGCAAATTAGACCAGATGATTTGGAGTCAGGGAGCACATCAAGGTGGCAAACCAGGAATTCATCTCTTTCTAGCCAAGAGCTGGATAGATTAACGAGGGTGACGATAACGCACGCCTAGATGACAGATATGAAAACGGCCGCCCTTATCTCAGAAATGCTGCCACCTGCAGGGGTCAGCCCAGCCAGCACCACCACGGCATGGCAGCCCTCACAATGGTTTGAATCAACTAGGTCACCAAAGACCCGTCATTAGGTGAGGGTGAACGTGCTTTTACACTTGGGCCAACTGCAGTGAAACACTTAGAGTGGCTCCTAGATGTTTAGCATTAGATACCTGGGTGGAAACTTCAACAGCATCAACTAATTGGCATGCAAACCGGGCAAAACGTAAAACCCGCTGCCTCACAGCATCGCCCAAGGTTGGAGGCCTCTTCCCCCCCTCCCTTGGATGAGGCAAGCATCCCAAATTCTTTTCTCTTTGCTCTGCTCTCTATTTACTTCATTAGAGAGAAAATGTCTGTTTCTGTTTTTCAGTCCTGCACTTAAGGTGCACTAATGCCAGTTATTGAATGCGCCTCCTTATTCCCTGTACCAGATACCAGCTCCTGAATCCAGCAACTCTTTCTCCTTCTGATGTGCACTCCTTATGTCCTTTCCCTAACTTTCTTCCCTCATAAGCCTGTCTGCCACTATGCCTCACGGGGGGTTAATTGAGACCGCTGCCATGGTACCCTGGCACTGGAAAGAAACCATCTTCAGGCTAAAATAAACCACTGCCACCTCATTTCTCTTTTAGTTTACTACTGATTTTTTTTCTTTTTTAGTTGTTCAGTCTTCCCACAGCCTCTCTGTTCTCACCACTCTTGCATTTTCAGCCTCATTGCTCCCCATTGGACGATGCAAGGCTGAAAGGTTTATCTGCAACCTATTTGTCTCTATTATAGGTTTCTAAACTTTAATTAAACAAGAGACAGGGAGGATCTCAATCCCTCTTTCCCCACCTCTCCAGGTGTTGCTGGTGCCATCTAGTGGTGGGAAAGTGTGGCATCTATTTTCTCCTGTGACATTTGTCAAATTTGGAGATTTATTCCCCCCACCAAGTTCACATCACATGGGGTAAGGAAAAGGCATGCAAAAAAAAATTTTTTTTTTTACCTTTAAAATGCTCACCTGCAAAAGCTGAGATGGGTTCTGGAAAATAAAAAAAGCCAGAAAATGTGAGTTAGATACAGGGAC